AAACATCGTCACCAAGCACAAAGTCAATAAAGATGGTCGACCGAAACCTTACCTACTTCTGATAGCCCAAATGTGTCCACTATATGAGGCATCACATGTTTCGGTTGGATATCCTCTGCTTTTGCTACATTCTTGTTGCAAATGGAAATGGTTGTAGATAAGAGTAAGGTGGATGCGATTGTTGCCGAGCAGATGTATCCTCTCCTAAACCAATTATATTGTTGATCCACATTTGATTATATTCCATTGCATATGTATTGTATGCGCCAATGTCCGTGAAACGCGCGGGGTGTGAAAGTGAATATTTGATTTTAGGCTAATCAAGCTTCTTGTTCCCTCTTTTTCTCTAAACATGTCCAATAGGCATAAGTATTTCAGCTTAATTTCCCACACTCATTCTTTCTATTCATGGTGTGGGAAATTTGATTGATTTCTATGGATTTCCTAGCTTTCGCTTACTAGTATATTCCTCATATTCAGCTAAGCATTAAGCCTTAGACCAGTCTATCTGGTGTCCTCTGTGGACTGTGTTCGGCTAGTTATAATTTTTTAACTTACAACCATTTGCAGGCTTTTTGTATCTGGATAACCTCTTGTATATGAGTCGGCAGGTCTCCTTCACATAGACGCGATAATATAAACCCAACCTTATAGCGGACCATTTTGAAGAGAGGGTCCAAAACTTCCCGAGAAAATGGCACTACTGAGGAAATTGTTGTTTTCTCTTTATATATTATCCTGATGTATCACTCCTTTAATACTTCGCCTATCCTTTTCGCATGATCACAGGAAGGTAACAGGACTCTAGTAGAGTTGTCCAGTTGTCTATCTTTCCCAAACTACAAGCTTCCATTAATCATATTTTCTAATACTTTAAAGTAAATGTCAATTAATCTTAATGGGTAATCATCCTCAACTAAACGTTCCTTTAATCACCTCAATTCCTGGTCCCGATGATAAACATCTGTAGGACATGCTCCTTATTATCATAGATTTTATAATCCCTTCTTAAACCCAATAAGTATGGTTCGAAAATAAATTAAAAATGAACCCATTATGTGTAGGTTTCCCATATACATTCCTACCCAGGTAGACTGCTATTCTTTTCTAGTTCTATGGTGAACTTGGTCTTCCCGTCAATTATATTAATTAATATTAGGTCTTCTATGCTTTCTTTGCCATGTTGCCAAATAGCTCACTAAAGCTTTTTTATTTAATTTCCTAATCTCATTAATCACACTTTATCGCAACTCTGTTTTATCACATAGCCCGAAAACACGCTTTATCTTTCGCTTTATCCGATTTCCTCAGAAGTTTCCTCTTCCCAAGTTCCGGCAACAATGGATCCGGAGGCTTTTATGGCAATGGTTGCTAAAGATGCTGAAGAGCGTGCTGCTCGTCGCGCCAAGAGCCGGCAGTCTGCTGCTAAGCTCAAGGAACGTGCCAATACATTTTACAAAGTTGGGGACTGGCAGCGAGCCATTGACCTGTACAGTCAAGCAATCGAGGTCTGTCGCGACTGGAACGTTCTCTACAGCAATCGTGCGCAAGTAAGTTTTATCTTTATTTTTAGGGGTTTTTAAATAATTATTCTAGGCTAAGTTATTGTAAATTTAAGCCCCACTAATCCCAAATCTAATGCTAACATTAATTTGAGGCATCCTTATTCTAGTTTGAAGCAAGCTTCTTCGATTTATATTAAGTTGAATAAGAACCTAACATGAGTAGTGGAGTAATTAAATAATCTATTGCCGCACGAAGTTTTTCAGATATCGGCGAAAATGTGTCTAAACATTAACACATGGATGTTAAGTCACCATAGACCTATAAACTTCCAAATATGTACTTATTGTCCTCAACGTGAGGCATATTGAGACGCAATTATCTTGTATGAGTAATTAATCACTTGGATTTTTGCTTAAAGAAAATATACCTTTGTGCAGACAAATTTGAGCTGATATTTAGGTCAATTTAGCGGATTTTTTTGCGTGCTTTTTTGTTAATTTATCTTCTCGTATCTATCTTTATCGTAGTTTAATGGAGGATTTTGATTGGCTTAATTGTTAGACTATTAAGTTTACTAGACCATTTTCATTAATCGAAGGTATGAAGACTAAGATGATGTGGCCTTTTGTGTGGTCGCAGTCTCCTTTCGTTCTATAGAGGTTGTTTGACCTTGTTTTAGCAACATGGTCATATTGGTAGAAAGACTTATTGGAACGCACCTAGTCCGAGTTCCATTGTCTTCATGATCATTTCCGAAGTTGACGAGTTGTTGTATGGTGCTAAGAATGGCTATACTCACTGACGATGCCGGTGAAATGTCTGGAAATGTACTACGTCGACGGTTTAACTTTGGAAATGATCATACAGACAATGGACACCGGACTAGGTGCGTTCCAATAAGTCTTCCTACCATTTTTATTAATGCTGAAAACTAACGGACTCATTTTTCATATTGCTCATTTTTACATTACTACGAAATATCGTCTTCCAGATTCTAGGTTAGGTATCGCCTGTTTGAACTTAGAAACTGAAAAGTCATTTACACGCGACAGATTGTAATTAAAAGTTACTTACTGTTATTATCTTGTCTTAATGAGATTAATACGAGTTTTTTCATTTAGAATGAATTTTAAAGTCTATCTTATTATAATACTCAACTGTATTCTAACTTTGCGCATGCATAAAATTTCAGCCATTTAATGTTTTTATATTTTCCATATTTTACTATTATAAGATGCTAGTCTTCTGGCCTAGTAGCAATGGTATCACTTAAAGTTTAAAAGTAATATATTTGTCTCTGGTCCTGTGTCTCGTCTTTTATACAATTTAAGAGAAAAGTGCTATTTATGGAGCTACGGTGTGGTGACATTCTATGACATAAGCATATATTCCCTTTGCTTCCTCCTTATGTATTTTGTCTCCTAAGCAAGTTTCATTGATAGAAATGAAGCAATAGTTATTTTTCACTGATGAAATGTGTCCTCTCTGTAAGTGACAGTTGAAGATACCTTGCTTGAACGTATTGTCTCTCTTTCGAATCGAAAGTGCTTGAGGATTGTTGCTGTGTCGTTAATTTGCATGCCCCTTTTCTGATTCCTCTTTGAGGTGATAGTTGTCCTTGTTTCGTAAATCAGGGTAAAATCGTAAAATTAAATTGACCTGCATCTATGTATCATAGGCCATTTATGATGTACCTTTAATATTATCGAGTAATAAAACTACGTGATAGAGGAATATTGCTTAATAAAGTATTTGTTTGACCTCGTTTTTACAACTTAATCGAAGAGACAGGGAGCTTTTGTAGAAAGTACCTAATTTTGTGTTATCTGTCATAGCATTCATTATACTTTCCAGCTTTGGATTGTAGGCCTGGTTCATCCCTTGCTAGAAATTATCAAAAATACTATGGCAGAGGGCGCAGGACTAGGTCCTTTACACAACGTTTTTGTCATTTCGGCTAAGTTATCAAAACGAGGTTTAACCAACACAATAAATCTGAAAGGGATCGCGACAAAACCTAAGATCACACTATCTTAGTTTTTCCATCTACCATTGCTTGATGAAGATACAAAAATCATCTGTTTGCTTTACTATCATT